TTACATCCTCATCTTCATTGCCATATCCACAACGTTTTAGCCTCTATATCTCTGAAATGAGGTATTATGATTACTTGAATTAGTTACATTATTCGGACTGTTATCCTCATCTTCATTGCCATATTCACAACGTTTCGACCTCTATATCTCTGAAATGAGGTATTATGATTACTTGAATTAGTTACATTATTCGGACTGTTATCCTCATCTTCATTGCCATATTCACAACGTTTCGGCCTCTACACCTCTGAGATGAGATATTATGATTACTTGCATTAGTTACATTATTCGGACTGTTATCCTCATTTTCATTGCCATATTCACAACGTTACTTCGGGAGGCCGGGCGTACCGAACTGATTCGTGTCAGAGTACGCATATGTTCTATGACAATTTCTCGGACATTCAGGCCGGTAAATGTTAATACTGTTTATTATAAACAGAACATTTATTTAAATATTTGTATCTATAAAAAGACCGTATACACATAAAAATTGTCTTAAAACAGATAGATAGATAGATAGATAGATAGATAGATAGATAGATAGATAGTAATTAATTCAGGGACATACATTTTGATCGAGATGAAAGACGAAATACACATCAGAGACGTTTGGTTTCAGTGTGATCAGAAAGAAAGATGTAGATAGATAAATACATAGATAACTGGGGTACATAGATCTGTAAGCATTTTACTTGGGTCATGGATTGGCAAATGTTGATCTTTTATATTTGAGTTTGTAATCATTTACTTGATTCGGGGATAGGCAAATATTAGTCGTTTATATTTCAGTGTACATGTATTCATTTGCTTCATGGATAGCCAAATACTTGCTGCTTGTAAGAATTTTCTTGGTTCTGGAATAGCTTAATATTGTTTCATTCTATTTGATTGTGTAAACATTTATTTCGCAGTTTTCTGTTTTTGGTTTAAGGAATTCAGTCGACATATTCTATCAACAGGTCAGTTTTACAAGGAGCTTTTTTTTGTTTTTGCTAACACTGACAATATGCTCTTCACAAATAATTTCATATTTTTACCATTTGCACTGGTTTGAATTCTCTCTTCCACAATGCGCCATGACTTTCCAAACAATTCCTTTAAATTTATTAATTAATATTTAATTATTCTTTTTTTTTTATTTAATTAATATAGCAAAATGAAGAAATTAAATTTCGTCGTCCAAAGTTTGTTGTCTTTGTCTGAATCTTTACAGTGTCAGTCAGAATGTGTCCAACTTCCTGGGAACCATTTTACATTTGGGCATCTGCCCCGGCCAAATGAAAGAAGTTAAGATCCGAATCCAATTACCGCGAAGAAGAATGCTAAAAACTAAATAATATTGAATCTTACCGTGGTATTTGGTAAATATCACTATATTTTCTATGCAGATGTTGACCACCTATACATTTCTTCTTTATTATCTTCTTCTTCAATATTTCGTGTGCGCGATCATGGTTCTCCACAACTTCCTACTAACTAGCTTCAGCTTTTTTGCATTTACTTTTTTTTTTATTGGAACTTTCTTTCCCCTTCTTTATCCGTCTTTCTTTTTTTCTTCTCCTTCATTTTTTTCTTTCCTCCCTGGTTTTATTCGCTCACTCTTTTTATTTCTTTTCGGATTTTTCTCCTGTTTTTTTGCTCTTTTTCTCATTCATTTTCTTCTTTCTAGTATTCTCTTTGTTTTTATTTTACTTTTACCCCCCTCTTTTTCATATTCTTCGCCCTTTTCTTTTACTTATTCGGTTTTCTTCTTCTTCTACATTTACTTGTTTATTATTTTTCTTCTACTTCTTCTTCTTCTCCTTCCGCTTCTCTTCCTACATCTTTTTCCGCTACTCGTCATCCGCCTCCTTTTTTCTTCTTCTTTTTCTTTTTCTTCATCCGCTACTCCTCCTCTTCCTCCTGCTCCTTCTTCTTCTTCTTCTTCTTCTTCTTCTTCTTCTTCTCTTCGTCTCCTTCTTCTTCCGCTTCTCCTCCTACATCTTTTTTCGCTACTCCTAATCCTCCTCCTTCTCCTACTGCTCCTCCTTTTTTCTTCTTCTTTTTCTTCACCCGCTACTCCTCCTCCTCCTCCTGCTCCTTCTTCTTCTTCTTCTGCTCCTCTTCGTCTGTTTCTTCTTCATCCGCTACTCCTCCTCTTCCTCCTGCTCCTTCTTCTTCTTCTTCTTCTTCTGCTGCTGCTGCTGCTCCTCTTCGTCTCCTTCTTCTTCCGCTTCTCCTCCTACATCTTTTTTCGCTACTCCTCATCCTCCTCCTTCTCCTATTGCTCCTCCTTTTTTCTTCTTCTTTTTCTTTTTCTTTATCCGCTACTCCTCCTCCTCCTGCTCCTGCTCCTTCTTCTTCTTCTTCTTCTTCTTCTTCTTCTTCTTCTTCTTCTTCTTCTTCTCACGTTCTTCCTATTTACGTTCTTCTCTTTCCTTTACTTGTTTTTCCCTTTTCTTCTCTCTCTTCTTTTTCTTCTCCTTCTTTTTTCTCTCATTATAATTATTATTATTGATATTATTATCATTAACATCTTAGCATCCTTATTTTCTTCCTTATTTTCTTCCTCTTCTTCCTTTACGTCTGCATTTCACTCCTCTTTTCTCTTTTTTCATTTATTCCATCTTCCTATTATTTAACTTTTCTTTTGCTTTTTTAATCATCATCATCATCGTCGTCGTCGTCATCATCATCATTCTTCCGTTCATTTTTCCTGGAAGTGGAAAACACGATAGAAATATCAATAGTTATCTTCATGGTTCATTCCGATCTATTCTTTCGAAGTGGGTGCGGGAATTAAAAAATGGACCTATATATTACAAGTACACACATGACTGATGTGATTGTAAATATGGCTAAAATTTAATAATGGGCATTGAAAGAACGTCGTATTTAAACACAACTGTTATTCCAATAATAATAAGAGTACTAGGAATGATTATAAAGAATACTTTCATTATAAAACTCTCAGCCTACATTTTACTCTGTGAGGTAGAAAATATTGCCCTCATGAACACCGCCTACAGACTCCGAAAAAAATCCTGTCTTTTATTTAATATGTTAAATAACTCTCTAAGAAGGAAATTCTTTGAGCTGAGGTCTCAAGTGAAAGATCTGGCAAATGGCTGTAATTTGGTTTAATTTATTTTGTTTTACGGCATATCAAACTCAATCGGTTTGATATGCCGACGATATATTTTGTTTTCAAAAACATATAGCTGGTAACAATTTATCTACAAAAATTTATTGCTGGTAATATTTTTACTTACCCAGGACGCGGATGTAGTTTATCGTCTTACTCTGGACGCGGATGTTGTTTATCGTCTTACCCTGGACGCGGATGTAGTTTATCGTCTTACCCAGGACGCGGATGTAGTTTATCGTCTTACCCTGGACGCGGATGTTGTTTATCGTCTTACCCTGGACGCGGATGTAGTTTATCGTCTTACCCAGGACGCGGATGTAGTTTATCGTCTTACCCTGGACGCGGATGTAGTTTATCGTCGTACCCAGGACGCGGATGTAGTTTATCGTCTTACCCAGGACGCGGATGTAGTTTATCGTCTTACCCTGGACGAGGATGTAGTTTATCGTCTTACCCTGGACGCGGATGTAGTTTATCGTCTTACCCTGGACGCGGATGTAGTTTATCGTCTTACCCTGGACGCAAAGGAATGTAACCAGAAACAAGAACAACAATTATAACAATAACAACTCTATTTTTAGTTGGCAAAGTTAAGAGCACTATTATCTAAATTACTACTTGGATGTTGTGATCTATATCACCAGTGCTGGGTTTACATATAGACTAGTATGGCTTGAAGGCCACGGGTCCCAACGCTGATAAAACTTAAATAATTAAAGATATAAGAACAGAGATCATTTTATTTTTCAGATTTAATGGGTCTTATTTGAACTAATTTGAAACAATTTAGCATATCTGAGCCCCTCTAGTTGGAGTCAGTCAGTTATGTGCCATGCATGATACACGCTTAGACGATCATGTATCTTTCGATATATGTCTGACGAGGCAGATTTTTTTTCCCGAAGTAGGTTGCCATTTCTTTCTGCGGTTGACCAGTTGCTATCCAAGGCTATAGAACCCAGTCTGTCCTGCTATTTTACCCATAGCTGGAGGGAGAAGAGGATTCATACCTTTCCCAAGGGTATTAGCACATCAGTGAATGTAATGGATTCGGCTGGAATTCGAACTCGGAACTCCGATTTCTCAATCTGAGCCGCTATCTATTACCCCACCGTATTCGATGGGGCCCCTTGAAGGTGACCCTTTCAGATTCTGATGCGTTTTTCTAATATTTTTGATGTAGCGTTTTTAGTCTTGTATAAACCTCATTGAAAACGGACTTATAATAATTGCAAAGTTACTCAATATTGTACATCAAAAAAGCAACATCTAAAAATAAATCTTTTTTTTTTTTATGGATACACACGGGTAGGAGAGGCGAATATACGTAATGAATGGGCCCCAAAATTCCATTAACCCAGGCGGCACGTAAGGCCTAAATCCGGTCATGTATATCACCGAACATTAAATTTTACAAATCCGAATAAAGTCTGCGTTATTGGCACTGCAAATATTTTGCGATGGAAAACGCCATAATCCAAGATCTCCGGTTTGAAACGAAAAGCTTTGCAAATAACTTTCCAATAAAGGCGTTCCTTTAACTCATGTCTTCGGAAGAAGGATTTGTAAAGGCTAATATAAAACAGAACAGGCAGACTGTAAGCAAAAACTACATCAACATTCAACCAAAAAATACATCAAGCTTAAAAACACTAAGAAAAATAAGCGAAACTGACTCTCACAATATCCTATCAGATCCAGCGATCCTGATATACATCCTTGTGCAAATTAATTGAAACAAAACGACATCGTATGTCTATTCCACGATGTCGTTCTGAGCAGATTCACCAAGGATTCTCAAATGGATTTAAATCAGGAGAGTTTCCGGGCCAGTCTATAGCACTTTGATTTTTTCACTGGTAAGGCTTGCCAGTGTGTTTGTGAAGTGTTATAATTTTCGTACGCTTTTTTGGTGTAACGTCCATCGCAGACATAGCTGTATGACAACTAATCGACAGTCGAGAGAATAGTGCATGGACATGATAAAATTTGAAGCAATCCTGGATGACGCAATATTCTTCAAAGCCAAACAAATTTCATCATACACCCAGAGGATAGATTCATATAACTACACACCACTGCAAATGACCTAATCTGCGGAAAAAAATAGAAATCCATTCCGCCCTGTCACCCCAGTGGGTCTAAAACTGATCGTATGGTGAAAGAAAGAAAACTAAAGCGGTTGTTTCAATTAATTTGCACAAGGGTGTAGATTACATGTTTACGCATCAGCGAATGGCAGGCTCTTGTCCCAAACCAGAAATGAAGGATTCCTAACTGCTAAATGTCAGCGACTTCCAACTAGGAAGTCCCAATGTAATATCTTGAAACTTAATGGCAGATCCACTGCCGCTTTTGTGAAGAACAGCCAGCGACAATTGACGATAAATTATATTTATTGACCGCCTGAGTCCAACTAAGTACTTTGTTTTTCACAATGAGGTTCACTCGAAATGGATAATGGCTCGGAATTGTTAATCGGAGAGCCGAGTTCCATTTCCGTTGCTTTCGTTAAATTCGCTTTCAAGCAAATACTCTTGGGAAAGCTATGAATCCAACAATTCTCCTCCTCCCCAACTAATTAGTTAATTAGTATGACTAATAATTAGTTAGTTAGTAAGAGTGTATTAATTAGTTGATTACTAAGACTATTAATTAGTTACTTAGTAAGACTGTATTAATTAGTTAATTAGTGAGACTGTTAATTAGTTAATTAGTAAGACAGTATTGATTAGTTAATTAGTAAGACCAATAATTAGTTAATTACTAAGACTGTATTATTTTAAAAAAATATCATTTCTTACAATTTTTAGACGCGTTCCTTATATTACGCGCAAATAAGCTTCGGAAAGTTAAGACTCCACTTCTTCTCCCCCCAGCTATGGGTTAATTAGAGCTAGAGATGTCGGGAAAAGTTCAGTTCCCAATACAGACTCAATAGCTATCGGACTCATCCTACTATCCTGTTTTTCTTCTTCTTTTTTTTTAAATCAAATTCACTCCAAGCAAGGCAATAAAGCCACTAAGACAAAAGGGGTTACTGGTTGTGAAAGAATTAGAAAATAGAAAACATTACGAAGGAGTGCCAAGGCGAATTTTCTTTTATTTAAGATCGTACTAAAAATATTGGCTTTTGCCAGGGTTTTTAAACACAAAACGACAGGGTGTTTTACGAATGTACAATAAACAGATATAAGCAAAAACAGATAGATAGATAGATAGATAGATAGATAGATAGATAGATAGATAGATAGATAGATAGATATGAATAAAGTTCATGTAGCTACTTAGATATAAACTGAACTAGATAAATATGAAAAATTCAGATAGCTACATAGCTATATATCTAGATATGAACGAAATTAGATAGATAGATAGATAGATAGATAGATTGATTAATGTTGACACTGAGAAAGAAAGAAAGAAAGAAAGAAAAATCTAAGAAAAATAGATTGATCTATTTGTTTTTCACGGCTTATCTAACCTTGGCAGGCTATTTAAAGTCAGAAAATATATTATATTCAAAAAATTCTTTGGCGATAATAATAATTTTTTTATTGATGCAATTTCTACTACTTAAATCATAGCAAGGCAATAAAGCCACTAAGACACAAAGAGTTACTGGGTGTGAAAGAATTAGAAAATAGAAAACATGACGAAGGAGCGAGAACAATAGAAGAAGAATCAGGAAGGGAGTAGATAACGATTGACATTGCATTTATATTCTTGAAGAATATGGCCAGAATTTTGGAAAAAGGACTGTTTCAAAATAACAGTAAAAGAGTAACGGCTTCTCGCTTAAGAAATTGAGACGAAATATTTTCTAGCATGGTGTCTGTAGATATTTGAAACACTCAGTAAGCATCTTCAAATTACGGCCATTAGTTGATAAACAAGTGTTTTATTCAAGGAAAGGATTTTTTTCTGATCCTTAAGCGATGTTGTTTTTGCTTTTTTGCCTTATTTTTATTTATTTTTGTCGTCTGTATCTCATTACGTCACGTATTTTTTTCTTTATCCCTCACCGAACTGTCTCCATCTATCTACAGCACTTCTTGGCTCTAGCCAGAACAAATTTCCAGTGTTCATGCCGATAAGCACGTTTTAATGTCTTTATACGCAGCCGGCATGGCTCAGTAGTAAAGTAGAGGTTAAAGGACCACCAGATATGACGTACTTTTCAAACTGCTGGAAAGATAAACATCTATATCAAAACCTGGAATAGAAAGAAGAAAAAAGAACTTATATTTATACAAATATTCTTCTTACAAATCCTCATGTTTAAAGCAAAGTTGGTTAGAAAAATGTATAAATATGGACAGGCTGAAGTGCATTTCAGCAAGGGTGTGTATATACATCGATATCGGGAT